GATTTGTGTTGGCAGCAGTCACTCAAAACAAAAATGTTGAATCAGGACTTGTGTGGCTTCAGGGGGGAGGTGTGGATGGGAAGTATTTCGACAAATAATTTGCCTGTCAAGAAGTATAAAAACAGGAGAGTGTTCATCCTGGCAAATTTTCCAGGAGTGTTATTTTTATGGAGGGGCTGGGGCGGCATGTGTGGCAGGGACAGTGAACAGGGAAGCTCCGAGCACCAACAACACATCTGACATTTGGTTCTTGTGTCTGAGGATACAATTTAATGAGAACAAAAATATGTCTTCCTAATTCTCCTAAGAAATCATTAAAACATTTTGTTATTCTTAAATGTCTTGAAAATGAATTAGAGCCCTGAAGGGGCTGTTCGTATGATATGTCTCCATCAGTTAAGGTTCCTCGTTCTCTAGCTTGGTGACAGCTGGGGATGTACGTCCCCCCCACCCCTCCATTTCTAGGGAGTAGAGTTGGGAAATCAGACACGTGGAGTCAGCACTAGGCTTGGAATGACCGTTTGGGGAGAGGGGCAAGAGAGCACGGGAACTTTCCAGGAAGTTCCATGCCAATCTTGGGAGCGCTCACGGTCCCTGACTGGCACCGCGGTTCTGGCCTCGTGGGTTAACATATTTTCAGAAAGATGTGGGTCCACAGTGAACCCCAGAAATGATGCTCTCTCCCACATGGGGGCTGTAAGCCCCTTCTCACCCCCAAACGCTCCCCTGGGTTTGAGACAACAGGTTACTTGAGTGACGATCTGTTTACCTCTGCCACCAGAATGCAAGTTCTCTGAGGTCTGGGCCCGGGTCTGTATCGGCAGGCTCATGGTTATGTTCCCAGTGTCTAGTGAGTGCTGGGCACACAGGAGGCACTCAATAAATGCCATCTGAGTAGATAAACACGTGACAAGCAGGAAGCGCTAGTTGAAAAAAGTACCTTTTCATTCAAATAACTCTTCTCCCACTTTCTGCGTCTGAATCTTATTTCTAATTCATTCAACAAACAATTATTAGGCGCCTACTGTGTACTGGATTCAGGGTACACAGGTTTACTATGACTCAGTCCCAGGCTTGGAGAATTTCACTTGTCCTAGGGACACACAGATGATGATAATAACAGTTGACACTTAGCAAGTGCCACTCTGCGCCATGCACGCTGAAGCCTCCCAACGACTGTATGAGACAGACTCTGATATTATTCCCAATTTGTAGAAGCGAAGACTGAAGCTCAGGGAGGTGAATTAATTAGCCCACAGTTACCCAATGAGTAAGTGGTACAGGCAGGATTTGAACTGGGGCCTCTGAGCCTGGAGACACAAGCCCATCTCAGTGCTGCCCCCTGGTGCTACAGGAAAGGTACTATGAGGCCCGGTGGAGGAGCTGGGCATGTGGACTCTTGGGAGGTATCTCTGGGGTCTGTACTGGGTCACCCTCCACTGTCATTCGCCACTGAGACTGTGCAACCCAAAGAATTGAAAGGAGTGGGAAATAAGAGGGTGTATTTTTCCAAATTTTTTCCCAGATAGCTCTGATAAGGGTAGAGACATCATAAGCAAAAAGGCTGCAAGGAATGGGGTGGCCTCTCGGTCTCTCAGCCACGTGCCTGGTGTGGTCCTCAGTAAGGGTGATAACGACCAGGGCTGCAGACACAGCTCTCTTGGCCTCATACCACAGGGCCATGCCCTGGCAGGGGGAAGGCACAGAGCCTGGAGGGCTGTGCTGTCTGGTTCCAGCCATTCTTGCCGCCAAAACATTCTGACTGAGAAAACCCATGTGGCCATGCTGCCTTCCTGCAAGTGCAGAATCAGGGCAGAGCATGGGACTGGAGCAGAGCGAGTCGAGTCTGCAGGTGCCTCTGTAGTGGGCTGAATGGTGACCCCAAAATATACATCCATGTCCTAATGCCTGGAACCTGTAAATGTGAACTTTTTTGGAAAAGGATCTTTTGCAAATGTAATTAAGTTAAGGATCTTGAGATGAGGTCATCCTGGATTATCTGGGCGGGGCCTAAATCCAATGACCAGTGCCCTTATAAGAGAACGAAGAGGGGTATTTGGGACCCAGAGACACAGAGGGAAGAAGGCCATGTGCAGACAGAGGCGGAGACTGGAGTGATGCAGCCACAAGCCAAGGGACACCTGGAGCCACCAGAAGCTGGAAGAGGTAGGGAAGAGTCCTCCCCTATTGAAATACAGTGTGTAACGTGAAGGATGCAAGTTACTCAGCTTTCTGCTCCCTACACCAAACAGTGTTTGTCTTCGGAGGGAGCAGAGCCCTGCCGACACCTTGATTTCAGACTTCTGGCCTCCAGAACTAAGAAAGAATAAGGATCTGTTGTTTTAAGCCACCCAGTTTGTGGCAGTTTGTTACAGCAATGGGAAACTAACATAACCTCCCACGGGTAGCCAAGTTGTGACATGAGCAGACATTCTAGAAATAGTTGTTGAACATATCAAGAGCTGAGTCCCATCTCTCCCTGGCTGTGAGGCATCAGGCACTGGACTCAACCTCTTTGTGCCAGGGAGACAGGGACTGGTAGGGCCTGTTCCCTTGGGGCTTGTAACATGCAGAGGGTAGAGCACATGCAACTTCTACACCTGGCCACTGCTTCTCTGACTGATGTGCTCCCGGATCCCCTGGGGAACTTGTTAAAATGCAGACGCTTCAATGGCCCGAGGTTCTGTATTTCTAACGAGCTCCAGGCGAAGCCAATGCTGCTGGTCCATGGACTACACTTTGAGTAGAACAGGCTAGAAGACTTCCCTCACCACCCAGCTCATGTGCTTTTGGAGGGGAAGCTTCACATCATTGTTGCTGTATTAGTTTCCTGGGGCAGCCATAACAGAGCACCACCCACTAATGTGGCTTAAAACCACAAAAGTTTATTCTCTCACAGTTCTGGAGGCCAGAAGTCCAAACTCAAGTTGCTGTCAGGGCTGTGCTCCTTCTGAAGGCTCTAGCGGAGGATCCTTCCTTGCCTCTTCCAGCTTCTGGTGGCCTCAGGCATTCCTTGGCTTGTAGTTGCATCACTCCAAACTCCGCCTCTGTCTTCACATGACCCTCTTCCCTGTGTCTGTGTCCCAAAACTCCCTCTCCTCTTCTTATAAGAACACCCTTCATTGGATTTAGGGTCCTCCCTAAGTCCAGGATGATCTCATCTCAAGATCCTTAACTAATTACATCTGCAAAGACCCTGTTTCCAAATAAGGTCACACTACGAGGTTCAGAGTAGACATAAATTTTGGGAGGACACTATTTAAACCACCACAATTGCCCAAGACAGATGGAACGAGGGACTTTCCCATCCCCTGCACAAAGATCTCACAAACAACCTTGACATCAAATATAAATGACTTTGCCTTCTCCATGGCTCAGCCTAGAGTGGGATCTCATTTTCTTCTTCGTAAACCCCCAGCTCCAGTCACCTCTGATAGCACTAATTCCTGCAGCTGTGTGGAAGTACTAGCAATGGATTAAAGGGGCTGTGTGGGTGGAGGGAGTTAGCACAGTGGAGTCATCTCCCAGCTCCACCATTATTAAACAAATCACTACATTCTGGGTTCCCATCTCTACGTCAATAAATGAAAACGTGCAGAGGACGGGCCATTTTAAAAAAGGGAACTTGGGCTTCCCTGGTGGCACAGTGGTTGAGAGTCCACCTGCCGATGCAGGGGACACGCGTTCGTGCCCTGGTCTGGGAAGATCCCACATGCCGCGGAGCAGCTAGGTCCGTGAGCCATGGCCACTGAGCCTGCGCGTCTGGAGCCTGTGCTCCGCAACGGGAGAGGCCACAACAGTGACGGGCCCGCGTATCACAAAAAAAAAAAAAAAAAAAAGGGAAACTTTTTGCAGAAGTATATCTACATATTTAGGTACACAGTTGAAGGCTCTCAAGCTGATCATACCTCTGTAATCCACATCCAGATCAAGAAGCAACATCTCCAGCCCCCAAAGGCCCCTCCCAGGAACTATCGCCCCATCCAAGAGAAACCACTCTCTTGACTTCTAACAGCACAGGTGTCTTTTTTTTTTTTTTTAGGTGAAATTCTGTAACGCAAAATTGACCATTTTATAGTGAACAATTCAGTGCCAGTTAGTACATTCATGATGTTGTGCAACCACCACCTCTATCTAGTCCCAGAACATTTTTATTCCCCTAAAAGGAAACCTCATACCCATTAAGCATTCACTCCCCATTCTCTCCTGCCCCCAGACTGGTAACCACCAATCTGATTTCTGTCTCTATAGAGTTGCCTATTTTGTGTACTTCATACAAATGAAATCATAAACTGTGTGACCTCTTGCGTCCGGCTCCTTTCACTCAGCGTCATGTTTTTAAGGTTCATCCGCTCTGTAGCATGTGTCAGTACTTCCTTCCTTTTTATGGCTGAACAATATTCCACTGGATTGGTAAACCGCATTTTATTTATTCATCCACTGATGGACATTTGGGTTGTTCCCCCTTTTAGCCATTGTGAATAGTGCTGACATTAATTTTTGCCTGTCTTCATATTTTATGTAAATGGAGTCATACAGTATATGCTTTTTTGGGTTTGGTTTTTGAGGAACATCAAGTTTTTGAGGTTGGCCGTGCCATGTTGGAGGAAACATTTGCAGTCTTTCCTCCAGCGCCCTCTGCTGGCAGAGAGCACTGGGTGCCTTCTGCCCCTTGTGGCAAAGGGATGGGGGTTCTGGTGGGCAAGACACTCGGCTCCCCAAGAAGATCCAGGTGGGAGATCTTACCAGGAGCCTCCCAAAGCTCCCTGGCTGATGTTGGAAGGCAGTGGGGTAAGATGGAAGAGTCGTGTGGGGACACATCACACCAGACTGGGTGTAGACCCCCTCAGTCCCTACAACAACTACCCATGGAGGGCCTGGCCTCACCCAGGAGTCTTGGCCTGTCCCCAGATGCCACTGAGAGGAGGCCCCTGTGTAACAGTCCTAACAGCAGTTTATTTTTGTTAATTATTCACTCATGGAGCCCAAGCATGTCTTACCTGGTGCTTCAATTAACTGCTTGTAAACGCTCAGGAAAGCGGCTTCGGCCTCCTGACTTCTCTTACTAAGAGCCACCACCTTTGGAAACAACGAGAGAAAGAATCACGTGTGACCACAGCATCTGAGTCTAGAAGCAAATTTGATCATTTTCTATATGTGCAAACATGGGATTGGGGGGAGGAAGAAGGGAAATGAAGATTAAAAGTATGGAGTAGACTGCCAAAATTCAGCTGATGGTGGCTGACTCCTTTGCCAGAGCAAGTTCTAAATAAATAGCCTTTGCCTGTTAAAAAAAAAAAGAAAAAAGAAAAAAGTATGGAGTAGAAAGTCTGGGTTCAAGTTCCAGCTCCAATGCATCTGGCTGTGTGACCTTGGGCAAGTCACTGCCCCTCTCTGATCCTCAGTTTCCTCATCTGTAAAATGGGGGTAAATGGGGCTTCCCTGGTGGCGCAGTGGTTGAGAGTCTGCCTGCTGATGCAGGGGACACGAGTTTGTGCCCCGGTCCGGGAAGATCCCACATGCCGCGGAGCGGCTGGGCCCGTGAGCCATGGCCACTGAGTCTGCGCGTCTGGAGCCTGTGCTTCGCAGCGGGAGAGGCCACAGCAGTGAGAGGCCTGCGTAAGGCAAAAAAAAAAGAAAAAAA